CTTGAGCTCAAGACCAGCCTGAGCAAGAATGAGACTCCATCTGTACTAAAAATAGAAAAATTAGCCAGCTTTTGTGGTGGCACATGCCTGTACTCTCAGCTACTCAGGGCGCTGAGACAGGAGGATCACTTAAGCCCAGGAGTTAGAGTTGCTGTGAGTTAGGCTAACACCATGGCATTCTAGCCTAGGTTACGGAGTGAAGCTCTGTCTCAAAAAAAAAAAGAAGGCTCGGCGCCTGTGGCTCAAGCGGCTAAGGCTCCGGCCACATACACTTGAGCTGGTGGGTTCGAATCCAGCCCGGGCCCACCAAACAAAGACTGCTACAACCAAAAAATAGCCAGGCGTTGTGACGGGCGCCTGTAGTCCCAGCTGCTTGGGAGGTGGAGGCAGGAGAATTGCTAGAGCCCAGGACTTGGAGGTTGCTGTGAGCTGTAATACCACAGCACTCTACCCAGGGTGACAGCTTAAGTCACCAAGTGTCTATTTAAATTAAGGGCTCATTACAACAGGTGATTCATATTCTCCAAGCCTGTTTTGTATAACATATGGCAATCAGCTGTCCTACGAAGCCATGAAAACTTCAAAATTGCTTTCCCCATATGGAGACCAAGCATCCTGCATTAAAATACAAGTCGTTGGAGTTTATCAAAGGGAAAAAAGCAGGAACCCAAAGAACAAAAACAATTATTGAAAGCTACCACTTCATCAAATGTGTCTGTACTAAGATCATCACTCTCAGTGGCTAACTGCACTGCTAAAGCTAAGAAGCTCTTTACTGTTGGTGGAGAGTTGATCCCACCTGCTGCTATGGTGATTTGCCATGAACTTTTAGGAGAGGCTGCAGTTCCAAAGGTGGCACGCATTCCTCTAGCACCATAAGTGACGAACGGATAGAATAGAGAGAGGATTCGAGAGGATTAATGAGTTACCGTGGCATGCAATCAAAATTGCGGAGTCTACTAATGTTGACAACGAGGCAACATGCTTGATTTTGTGAGATATATTTGTAGGAGGATGTGCAAGAGGACATAGTATGTGCACTTCTGTTGCCAACCAACACCACAGCTGCAGGACTATTCAAGGCTTTGAATAATTACATGTCAGGAAAACTGAATCGGTCATTTTATGTCAGTAAATGCATGGTGAAGCAGCTGCCATGACTGATTGGCTTTCTAGTTTTACTACTCATGTCAAGGAAGTCACTTCTTTTTTTTTTTTTTAAGAGACAGAGTCTCACTTTATTACCCTCAGTAGAGTGCTGTGGCATCACAGCTCACAGAAACCTCCAACTTCTGGGCTTAGGCGATTCTCTTGCCTCAGCCTCCCAAAGACCTGGGACTATAGGTGTCCCCCACAACGCCTGGCTATTTTTTTGTTGCAGTTTGGCCGGGGACTGGGTTTGAACCCACCACCCTCAGTATATGGGGCCAGTGCCCCACTCACTGAGCTACAGGTGCCGCCCAAGGAGGTCACTTCTGAATGTGAGTCTGTGCACTGTGTCAGCCACAGAGAAATGTGATCTAGCCAAAAAACATCACCTGAACTAAACAACATTTTCAGGATGTGATTAAAATTATCAACCACATTAAAGTACATACCCTTAACACACATCTGTTCACAGAGCTCCGTGAGGAGATGGACACAGAGTACACACATCTGATATACAAAAGTGAAATGGCGGCTCGGCGCCTATAGCTCAACCAGCTAAGGCGCCAGCCATGTACACCTAAGGTGGCGGGTTCGAATCCCCAGCCCGGACCCGCCAAACAACAAT